AAACAGCTTGAGAGATTTCCCCCAAACCCTGAGGAGCTACCTTTGCCCTAGTTTTCTACTGAAGTGTTTGTTACTTTTGTCCAGGTTGACTGACATATCCTGGGCAAGCTGTAAACAACTTGAGGTTTGATACTTTTTGTCTGGCCCTGGGCTGCAGCCTGCCCTGTGACTGGTCTATTTTACATACCTTGCAGGGATTGGTCAATATAATTATGCAAATTAAGTGAGTCCAATGCCTTGAAAATGTCCAGAAGTTTGCTTCTATACGCAGCCAACTCGAGAAAGAAGGAAAGGAGAAAAGGCTAGAGAGGCAAGAAGAGAGAAGAAGCAGAGAGAGGAGGTGAAGAACCTCCTAAAAGGGCTGTAACACGGGTCAAGGGCTGCAACACTGAAGACAGTGAGGCCTGGCAGGGGCCCTGTGGCAAAGTCAGTGGTGATAGTAGAAACCCGCTGCTAGGAATGCAGCTAAGAGAGATGAACAAAACTGCTACACTGGCTATGAGCTGGGTCAGTTAGCAGCAGAGACGCGGATGGAAGGAGGCCTGTCCTGAGGGGGCCTAGAGGAGGCCTGCACAGCTGAGTAGGGGCGTGTGTAGCTGAGAGAGATGGGCCTGCTTGCTTGCATGGTGGAGGAGCTAAGACAGCTTGTCTTATACTGAAGGGAGGGAGGGACGTGTTCTCCTCTTTGGAGGAGCCTTCCAGACTTTGCCTGCATGTTTCCTGATCCTGATCCCGAGCTGTACCTTATTACTTCCTTAATAAACCACTTCACTGTAAGTACAGTCTGTGAGTTCAGTGTGGCCATTGCAACGAATTATCGAACTCAGAAGAAAAGTAGAGAGTGCTGCAGGGAGGACGGCTGGTGCCAGAACTGGTAAAAAGACTGGAGAATGGAGGTATGTCTGACCTCCACCTTGGGCTGATCTTGATTCTCATTATACCCCCTGAAGTTAGACAGATTCTGATGCTACCACTACCATTTCACACCCCTCCTCAGGCCTCAGCACCTCCTGTCCCCTCTGCTGAGGAAGCTTGCCTGAGGCTCCAGAGCCTCCTACTGAGCTCACACGTGCAAAGGTGCAAAGGGAAAAGGGACGTAAGTCCCCCCTGCCCCTCTGGGAGTCTCTTCCCCTTTCCCGCCTATACCACTGACACTTTCTGCATTTACTCGTCTCTCCGTGTGCCCCCGACCCCCATCCCTGAGAATGGGGATACCTCCATTGCGTGCTCCATTCCCACTGGGCCCAGGCCTGGCACAGAGGAGGCAGGATGATGCACATTTGTTAGACAGATGAAAAAAAGGACTTCCAAAACTCATAGGTTAAATAAGCCAAAACAGCTTCAAGTGTCAACAGAAAAGATAACAATCAAAAACAAATAGAAAACCTCATCCCAAGTGCCACAAACCCCTAACAGGCAATAGCAAGTCTGCTCTGCCCCAGGAACCCAGAATCAGGTCCTCACATAAAGACCCCAAACACCGGATGACCACTGGCCCCGGGCCACCCTCCACGTGCACCAACCAGTGGGCACTCACAGTGATCCCACCCCAACAATGACCGACGTCACCCACCTCTGGGAGGCTTGCCAACCATAGTCAAAAAGGCTGTTCCAGGGAGCTCCTGTGAGCAGGCCCCTGCCATGACGCCTCCATACCCCAGGAAAGAGCGCCTGCACAACTCTTTCAGGAAAATCTGCTTTCCTGTAAGTCACACCCCTTTCGACCCTTCGCACCGAGCACAGGGCTGGCCTCTCAGCTAACAGGCAGTGTGTACCTGCGGTGGACAAGGCACCGGCAGAGCAGACCACAACGCATAGTGTGGGCAAACACACACGTGTCACACGTGGACCCTTCACACACTTCAAACTGGGAAGGGGGTGGTGGACACGCCAGTAGCAGCCCCCACCCCAATTTATCTTCCATAACCACCTAGGGACACTCGACTCCTGGGACCAGGATGCACCACCTGCCCAAGGGGTATAATGGCTCACAAACCATTGTTTCTCTTTCAGTCACTTGAAGATCTCCAGATTCATGCACCAGGGGAGGGCCCTGAGGAGAGATGAAATGACCTCTGGGTTCCCCTTCCCACCCCAAGGCACCACTTGGCCACTGGTGATGCTGTGGCTGAGCCATCCCTCCTGGCCTTGTAACAACAGGGATGAAGTTCCGTCTGTCCAGCCATCGCCCATTCACCATCCACCCATCCTTTAAGTTCTCGCTGCCCATGCCATGTGCTTAGAGTCAGACAGGCCCAGGCAGAGGCAGAAGAGCACCAGCTGCCCTGCCACCCTCAGTCGCCACAGGTGCAGGGCTTGGACAGCCACTCTGGGCTGCAGGCGCTATAGACCTTCTCTAGATATAAGCCCCCAATTTTTAGATGCCACTGTCCAAAGAAATCATGTTTACAGCCAAGCCCAGGCCCACCCTCTCTGTTCACTGCCCTCACCCCTCAAGTCCCTCCTGGCATTGGAATGTGACTTTAATGGCTGACAGACTAAAAGCAGCCCGGTAAAACAAGTAAGTAGCCACTGGTGGTCATCACCTATAGAGTCACTATGAGTCAAAATCAACTTGACAGCAGTGGGTTTAGGTTTTGGTTCGGTGGTTGTCATAAGGTAGCCTGGGTAGTACAAATAGTTAAGTGCTCAACTACTAGCCAAATGGTTGGCGGTTCGAACCCACTCAGAGGCATCTTGGAAGAAAGGCCCAGTAATCTGTTTCCAAAAGGTCACAGCCTTGCCAACCCTATGGAGCCGTTCTACTCTGACACACATGGGTCAGCATGAATTGGAGTCTACTCGACAGCAACTAACAAGTACAACAATGGTGTTCATCACATTTATTCTCAAGTCTATGCATGCCCCAAAATGGAGTGGAAGAGAAAGCCCAGAACTCCCCATCATCATGTCTCGTGGGGCCACATTTTGACAAAGCAGCTCTCCCACCACAAACACTTTACACTAAAAGCTGCAACCCTTTTTATGGCTGAGTAATACTCCATTGTATGGATGGACCACATTATGCCCCTTGAATGTGGGTTTCTTCTCAGCCCCCTCAGTGTACCCTCAGGAGACATGCCACCTTCTGCACGTACAGGACTTTGGGCTCTGGAGACAGGAGGGCCGTGGGACTGGAAGCCACGCTCTGCCACCTCCTGGCCAAGTGATGCTGGACGAGTTGGTTAAGACCCTTCTGTGCTTCAAGGAATAGAAGGCTGACCTCGTGGAGCTGGGGGAGGGCACATGGCATTGTTCCTTCCCACTGGTGAACCTGACCACAGGAGAGCTGTATTCAAGCCCCCATTTCTCCTCCTTCCGCTTCTGTTAATGCCTAATGCTCCCAAACTCTAGTGACAGCATGCTGGAGCCACCACCAGATAATGTACACAATTTAACACCGATGGTCCTCAAGCATCTCTAAGATATGGATCCAAATTCTGAGTTACCTGTTCAAAAACCACTGGGAGTAGAGAAATTAGAACTTCATACACTGCTGGTGGGAATGAAAAATGGTATAGCCGCTTTGGAAACTGCCTGGCAACTTCTCAAACCATTCAACACACAGTTACCATATGACCCAGAATCCCACTCCTAAGCATATACCCAAGAGAAATGAAGATGAGTGTCCACACAGAAATGTGTATACAAATGTTCACAGCAGCACTATTCAAACAGCCAAAAGGTAGAAACAACCCAAGTGTCCATCCACAGATGAATGGATAAACACAATGTGGTCCATCCATACAATGGAGTATTACTCAGCCATAAAAAGGAATGGAGCATGGATACATGCTACAACATAGATGAACCTCAAAAACATGTTCAGTGAAAGAAGCCAGACACAAAAGACCATATATCATACCATTCCATTTACATGAAATGTCCAGAAAAAGCAAATCCATAGAGACAGAAAGTAGATTAGCAGTTGCCAGGGACTGGGGGAAGGGGATGCGGAGCGACTGCTAATGGGTATGGGGTCCCTTTTGGGGTGATGAGGATGTTCTGAAATCAGAGGTGATGGTTGCACAACTCTTGAATATACAAAATACCACTGAACTGTACACTTTAAATGGATGGCTTATGGTATGCAAATTGTATCTCAATTTAAAAAGTACTTAAGGAAGCACTGACAAAGTTTGTTTTCGTTAAGAGGATGCTCTGGAAATGTTTTCCAAATATCAGGATTACCTGACCAACCAAAGACCAGCCCATATTTTCTTCTCAGAGGCAGAAAGGCTATATCGCACAAACCTGACCCAATACAGTAGTATTTTGCCCTCAGCTTGGCCCTTGGGGCAGCAGGCACATCTGGGAGCAGCTGATTCCTACACCACACAGCTAGCAAGACTTACACTCAGGGACCATACCACACACATGAAGGACCCCCCCAGTGCACATGAAGCCCCTGCACATGAAACCCCCACATGAAGGCAACACTCACCCCCACCCCCCATCACCTGCCAGCTACATCTGAGTTTGCTGCTCTGTAAAACAAAGTAGCTGAGCCAGGAGGTTCCAAACTGCCCTCAAGTTCTTTTCCAGGTTCTGTATTCTTCTCTGGTCAGGGCCCTGATCCTAACCTACAAAGTCCCTGCAGGGTGAGTTCTGTGGCCCTTCTGTCCCCGCTCCCAACAGCAGATGAAGGAAATTGTCTAACAGTTGGGTCAACATTGAGAAATCCTGGAAACGCCCGGGGCGAAGGCCACCAGGTAGATGTGCTCTCCTGCCCCCAACTCCTCACAGAGGACAGGCCCCCGATAACACGGCTCAGCCCCTTGATTCTGCGCTTGTCTCCCAACCCCTCAGGACAGGCCCACTTGTTCAGTAGTGACCACTAGGGATTGGTGGGTGAGAATGCAGCAGCCCTGGAAGGCTCATGGGCCCCAAGGCAAGGCAGGGCCCCCACAGACACAGTGTGTGACCTTGCATCCCCTCTGTGAGGCACCACTGGCCTCTGAGGAACTGACTGAGCCTGCACTCGGACACGGCCTGCTCACCTGGCTCCCGGCGCAGGGACACTGGTCCTACAAGTTGGCCATGGCAGCAGCTGCGTCTGTCGGCACCCACGTCAACGTGCTGACCAGCCTAAACGGGGGACAAAGAAAGACACCCTGAGTTTCCAAGGAAGGCCTCTGGGACATGCCGGTACTTGTGACCATCTCCAGCCCCTGGGATCACACAAGTGGACTCTGCAGTTTCAACCAGGGCCTTCCTCACGTGGGTGAGCAGGGAAATGGACTTCTATCAATCTCGGACATGCCACACTGCACTAACCAACACACACCAACAACAGAGGCATGAAGGTGGTTTGACAGCCACGTCGAAAATGAAGTTTTAGTGGTTCAGGGTTAGAATCCTCACCTGCCATGTGGGAGACCCCTGGCATAAGTCAGCCCAGCCATCAGTCCCTGGTTTGTAGTGTCAGGGCCAGGGTTAGGGCTGGCTCCTGGTTTGCAGTGTCGGGGTCAGGGTCAGCCCCTGGTTTGTGATGGCAGGGTTGGCTTGGCCCTCAGTTTGTGGCGTCAGGGTCAGCCCCCAGTTTGTGGGGTCAGGTGTCCAGGCCTCTAGAAGCAGAGGCTGAACCCAGTGACTGGCCAAATCCAAGACATCCCAGCAACTGTCCAGCTCTGAGGCACCTAATAAGCAGGAGTGATTTGCCAAGCACTGTCACCATCACCGATGCTGTCATCTTTTTCACTCACATGACTCTCAAGAGCCTGCTCTGATATGAAGCCTTTATTTTTAAACTGGTTCACATATAATTCACAGCTCATGGACGGTGAGAAACTCTCACAGGAGAACCTGCAGAAGTAAGGGAGAACGTGCAATAGCCAGTGAAGCTTTTGCAAAAAGGCCTCTGGGCTCCAACGGTGGCCCCAACAGGGCTGCAGGCAAGGCAGGCTCCTGGCAGAGGCCCTTTCTGCACTGTCCGTGGCCTTATTCAGGGTAGGAACCCCATGGACTGTATCCTGGTGCTCAACCCTCCCACAACGAGGCCTCTCTCTCTGCCGAAGTCCCCTGTGCTTCCCCAGTGCCCGCTACGCTGCAGGGGGTCAACAAAAACTAGCCATATGTCTATATACAAGGAGTCCCTGGGTGGCACAAACGATTAAGTGCTCAACTACAAGCTGAAAGGTTGGCAGTTCAAATCCACCCTGAGGCACCTCGAAAGACAGGACTGGTAATCAGCTTCCAAAAGGTCACAGCCTTGAAAACCCTATCCAACAGTTCTATTCTAGCACCGGTGGGCTTGCCATGAGTTGGAATCAACTCAATGGCAACTAATAACAACGTGTTTACACAGTAGCAACTAAACTAGAAGCTTAAAAATCAGAGCTTAAAAAAACCTGTCTACGTTAGCATAAAAAATGTGGAATACTTGAAGATAAATTTAATAAAACATGTGCAAGACGCATAAACTGTAACCATAATAAAGCACTGTGACGTAAACTAAAGAAAACCTAAATAAATAGAGATACCTTGTTCATCAGTCAGGGAGAGGTCAGTTCTCCCCTAAACCCATCTACAGATTCAATGCAATCCCAATAAAAAATTTCCATCAGGCTTTCTTACAGAAATTGACAAGTGATTCTAAAATTCATATGGAAATGCAAAGAACTCAGAATTGTGAACACAATTTTGTCAAAGGGAAACAAATCTGGAGGAGGGTTCCACCTGGTTTCAGGACTGGTCATGAAGCAATCAAGGCTGTGTGGCGTGCCCACAGATGGGCCATGTATGTGGACAACTGTTTTCCACCACAAAGTCCCCCGTGCCCTTCTTTCTACGTGAGGCCACAAGGCACATAGGCCATGGCCCGTAAGGGCTGAGGGCAATTCTTCTCAGAGGGGAGGCACTCAACTACAGGTTGTCCCTGGCTTAATACAGGGTTCTGTTCCCACAACTCCATTTTAAGTTGGTTCTAACATAAGTCAATTACCTCATTTTTTTTTCATTATTATTGCCTTTTATTATCAGTATTTTTATAAATCTGATCTTTGTTTCTGGAGGTTGGAAACATTACATATAAACTTACAGATATGATGGTATCAGCAAATTACATACTACAAAATTGTATGTAGTACATATTACTAATGATAACACATACCAAAGGACAAACAGGACAGTTGTTAAGTGCAGTTCGTTGCAACTCAAATATGTCATAAGTCAAAGGCTACCTGTACCTTTGCATCACAGTACACCCAGTACGAGTCCCACACCCACCATGGGCTCCCCAGCCCAGTGCATAGCAAACTGATGTTTCCAGGGCCCATATTAAAATCTGGAGCCACCCACTAACTCCTCTCCTTCTCTGCTGGCCCATACCCAGCCTATCAGGAAACTCTTCCACCCTGCCGTCAGATCCTTCCAAACCCAAGCATCTCTTCCCCCCGCCAGTCACACCGTTCCCCTTCAGAGACTCACAGGCCTTTCTACCCCAAGGCTCACGGCCCTCCGATGGCTCACCCACTGAGGAAAAAGCTTTCCTCTCACTGCCTCAAAGGCCCCCACCCAGCACTGCCTCACCTCTACATACACCTCTGACCTCTGGTCTCTGCCATTCCTCAACACACCAAGCACCACCACCACAGAGACTTTTTATTTTTTAACCAAAATCTCAGATACTGTGTCATTTCAACAATCAATTCCTCACTTTACATCTCAAATTGAAAATAACTTTTAAAAACATAATTATCAAGCCATGGTCACACTAAAAAAGTTAACAATAATCCCTAATATCAACTAATGCCCAGTTCATAACCAATACCAAATTAATGCCCAATCCATATTTGATATCAATTAATGCCAAGTCCATGTTCAACATGAACTAATATCTAGTTCATAATCAAAATCAACTAATGCCCAGAGCATATTCAGCATTCACAGACTATCTCAAAGGTGCCTTTTTATGTGTCTGTCTTAATACCATCACTGAAGCAGCTGCTGCCCTCTGCCTCACTTGCCCCCTGATGTCTGGCCATTCCCCGATATTGGCCCCCTAAGCGCAGCTGCCCCGTGCTCCCTTGCCCAGCCCATGTGTACAACAGCCCAGCCCCCTCTCCCCGTGTGCCACTCCCTCTCCCCACACACCTCCTCTCCACAGCACTTACCACCTTCCCATGGGCCACCAGCTACTCACATACTTTCTCACCCAACAATAAGGCAAACTCCACAAGGGCAGCTGTGTCAGTTTTATTTTGAAGTGCTTAGAACAGCATCTGCCCCACAGCCGGGTCCAATACTTATTGAACGGAGGAGTGGGATGTGAAGGCAGAGGGCTGGACCTGAGGCCCCACAGCAGCAGCTCCCCTGATACCATCCCGAGCATCTCTCCGAAATGCACTGTGATCTGTATCCACAGCTATCACTGGGGCATCTGCCATCCACCCGCGCTGGCTGATCCAGTCAGCTTTTACTGTTTTCATTTCCAACCCATCGATTGAAAGCAGTATCAAGTAACCCTTAAGTACACAATTACCAAATCAAGAGAGACTCTTGCACTCCCTCAATAAATCATTATGGTTTGGCTTTAACCCTGCACCTGTGTCCTTGATTTGAACACACACACACACACACACACACACACACACACACACACACACACACACACACACACACACCCCAACCTCACCACCACCCAAACACTACCATTCCCCAATCAAATCCCAATCTTAATCTTAGAGGAGATCGCACAAGGTAACCATGGTGATTCACGTGAAATAAAGGCACCTCGCTTTGGGCAACAGAAGCCCTTTGTTGCGTTTCATCCCCTCAAGAGCTCAGGCACGCAGGGTCAGCTCTCTTCTAACACGGGGAGAGGCTTGGCCAGATGCCAGCCACCCCTCTGGGAGCTGCGGTCCCTCAGGACCCTGGGTGGCAGTGCCATTGGCGGCACAGGCTGGCATCTGGGGCCAGGCATTCATCTGCACCTGGAATGGACCCAGGGGGCTGCATCTTCCCCCAAGCCCCCTTCTCCTTGAAATGCTGTGCTCTCTCTCAACCCAATGCCTGTGCCCAAACCTCTCCCACCTCAAGTCCAAATCAGTGCTGGGAATTTCAGGCCCCAGACACCTGAGACAGAACCAACGACACTGGACAGGACTCCCCACCCTCTCCTAGATCTACCACGTCCACTACTCCACAAGCCACGCCCACCGACACAAGCCACTCAGGCTCTTCTCCAGTGGCTCTCAGTGCTGCTCTGCCACGCAGCCGGGGGTGGGGGGTGGGGGGCCTCCTCAGTCATTCCAGAACAGGAGAAACTGAGGCCATGTAACACAGAGTGTCTCGAGGAAACCAAGGCTCAAAACCATCCTAGCATTCTCCAGCTGATCGGGGAAGGGTTAACCTGGGCAAGGTCAGCCTTCTTGGCCGGTTGGAGCATCAAAGTTTCCTGGACACGACCTTGCCCTCTCATGTCGCACTGCCCACCGTGGGATGCAGCGCTGAAATGCTGGCCACCTGGCTCCTGTGGGAGTTCTAAGCACAAAGAGTAACTGACAGGGACAGAGATGACATTTGACTCACGCAGGTCTGCCCAGGTAGGGAAGTTGGGGAATTAGACCAGAAGGCGCCCTGGCTCCATGGTGGCCTGGGAGACAGCAAGGTACCTACCCATCTCTCCCCAAGGAGCCATGGCCTCGTTAAGAAGCCTGTCCCCACAGAGGCGAGGAAGAGCATGACTCGGCACACCTGAAGCAGAAGAATAGCTCAGCCGAGGGTGAGACCAGCGAAGCCGGTCCCTGGCAATGAAGCTGGTGGGCCACACACAGTCCTGGTCCCTTGCTCCAGCAAGGCGCCCCAGGGTAACGGCCAGCTGTGCCCTTGAGGCCTCAGGTCTGCCCAGCCTGTCCTGTGCCCAGGCTCCCATCCACCCCAAGTCCTGTAACCATGGCCTAAGGGACAGTCGGGCCATCCCCACGCTGACCAACCTAGTGTCCCCAACACCAGCCACGTGCTCCCAGTGTCACAGGAACAGAGGGCACAGCCTCCATGGCCTGCCCGCTCTCCCTATAACCTTGTGACCTCACCTGGCAGGCATGCACCTGCATGCATACACACTCATACACACGTTCTCATGCGCT